AACTAAATCATCAGCGTATAAGTTTGCTTTTATAGGAGGCTTAATTGTATTTATTACATCGTTAAATGCAATTAAAAATAAAGTTGGGCTTAAAATAGAACCTTGTGGAACACCGTTGTCAAGTATTCTAGTGGTAGAGGTGTATCCATTTACTCTTACTTGTATTTCCCTTTTATTCAGAAAGTTTTTTATAAACGCAAGTATATGTCCTTGAATTCCCCATTTATCAAGTTTATTTAATATGAGGTATCTCCATGTTGTGTCGAAAGCTTTATTCACATCAAAAAAGACTGCTATAACTTTCTGATCTAGTAAGAATGCATCATGAATGGTTGACTCAAGTGCCACTAAGTTGTCGTTAGCAGATCTTCCTCGTCGAAAACCACTTTGAACGGTGGTCAGGAGATTTTCATTTTCTAGATACCATGTAAGCCTGTAATTTAAAATTTTCTCGAGAAGTTTACACATGCTACAGGTAAGGGAAATAGGACGGTAAGATGTGGGACAATCTTTTGGATTGTGTTGTTTATAAATTGGGATTATAATAGCTTTGGTCCAATTATCAGGAAAGTAATGATTTAAAAAGATGTGATTAAAGATGTCTAAAAGTACCTTTTTGCATTTTTGGGGTAGATTTTTTAAAAATATCGATGGAATATCATCAGGACCTGGAGATGTGGTTTTTAAGTTTAAAAGAGAAAAATCTAATTCTTGCAAAGTTATGGGTACATTTATGGGAGAGATCTGGTTGCGAATTTTGATGTCTACAAATTCTGTGGTAGTCTTATGTATAGAAAAGATCGGATCTAGTACAGAATCGCTAGAGTTTTTTTGAAATACGTCTACTAGAATTTCAGGAATTTCGTTTCTACAAGAGATGATTTGGTTGTTATATGAAAGTGCATTTATTGAGTAAGGTAAACTTGATCCTTTTATTTTCTTTATTTTGTTCCAGATTATATTTGCTGGTGTGGATGTGTTAATGCTTCTAACATATTCAATCCAGGTCTCCTTCTTACTCTTTTTTATTAAGAATCGTGTACTAGCTCTTAATCTCTTAAATTTTATTAGGTTTTCCTCTGTTTTGTGTCTCTTAAAAACATTAAAGGCGTGCTTGCTAGCAGCCAAGGCCCGAGAGATTTCTTGATTCCACCAGGGTACCGGTTGCCTTTTACACAGTTTAGTTTTTCCTACAGATGTAGATGCACAATTTAAGATAATGTTGTTAAAGTCCGTGACGGTTTTGTGAATGTCATTTGATATCTCATAATTTTCCATCTCTTCTTCCAAGTCTTTTTGAAAAAGTTCCCAGTTTGCTGATTTTATTTTCCATCTTTGATATACATTCGGATTAAGAGGTTGGTTTGTCTCAATTGAAATAAGTAAGGGGAAGTGGTCACTGTCGTGCAGAGTTTTTGCTGTGTTCCATTGAAACATGTGTGCTAGTGATGGGCTACACAGAGTCAGGTCAATTGCAGAGAATGATCCGTTATATGAATTGAATCTTGTTGGCTTTCCAGTGTTTAATAAGATTAAATTTGATTTATTTATCAGACTGTGTAGAAAGTTGCCACATTTATCGATTTTTTGGCTACCCCACGCTGGGTGATGGCAGTTAAAATCGCCTAGAATTACTTTGGGATGGGGTATTTTTTCTATGAGTGCTGTTAGTTCATTTATGTCGTCTTGGTTAGGATGCGGTAAGTATATATTACAAACATTGATGATTTTACTGTAGGTAATTGACACAGCCACAGCTTCCAGGTTTGTAATAAGTGGAATGATTTTTGCTTCAGTGTCATTTCGAATGAAAGTAGCTACTCCACCACTAGCATGCATTCCATTTCTGTTTTTTAGAAATGGCACATAATTTCTAAGTGTTACAGAATTGCTTTTAAAGTGAGATTCTTCCAGACAAATTACAATGGGAGAGAAATCGTTTATAAGAAGTTTTAATTGCTCAAGGTGGGTGTAGAATCCGTTTAGGTTCCATTGAATTAAAAATGTATCAGACATTATTTATCCTGACTAATTGTGTCGTTGTCAGATTCTTTTGTAGATGAATAATAATTTGAGGATAGTTTTTTCTTAATAGTTGTAATTGTTCTTTTTAAAGAGGGATTTTGAATATTTGCGTGGATAAAAGTGAGAATGTCAATAATTTCGGATATTTCATTGGTGTATTCTTTTGCTATAAGTTCAGGGTTTTTAGAGTTAGTGGCATTTTCTAAAAATAGACATATTTCTGAATAACCTATAGGAAAGGGCGGATTTTTTTGTTCTATTAAGTTTTTAATAGGATCGAGGACAGCAAATGTATTTTCAGTCGACTTGGCCCTTTTTTTTGGTTTAGATGTTTTGGGAACAGAGAAGACGTCTTGTGATGTGGGAATATCAGAAACATCTGGAGAATTTGATAATTGTCTTTTGGCCTTATCTTTATTTAAAGATGGGTTATCGTTGCTAGTTATAGATAGGGTAGGAGCTGGAGGGTTATAGGGAATGTTGACTTCAGATGGAGTTTTATTGGTGGTTTCAGTTAGCTCTATATTGGTTTGGTTATTTGAATTAGGATTTTCAGGTACTTCTGTTTCCATTTGTTTACTGGGCGAATCCGTTGTTTGAATACAGTCAACTTCTCGGTGTCCTATTGTTCGACATTTAGAACAATTAAATTCGTCTATAGAAAGGTATATTCGATATGTTGTGGAGTCAAAAGAAATGTTGAAAGAGTCTGTTATGGATAAGTTTTCTAATGGATTGATGTAGATTTGCCGCCGAAAACTTAGAACATGGTTATATTCTGTCTCAGACATACCCACTCGAAGAAATGTCATTTTTGATATGGCTATAATTCCCATTTTCTTGAGTTCTTCTTCTATAACTTCGTTTGGAATGGTTGGACAAACATTCGAGATGACTAATCTTAAAGCTGGAGTTATTAATCTGCGGACTTCTACTTGCACGTTGCTAATTTTGACGTATTTGTGTGAATCAATGAGTTGGTCTACTATTCTTTTAGAAGATAAATAAATGCAGATGCGGTTGTTTGCAATTTTCGAGGCAAAAACTATGTTCTTTGGAAGGACAAGTGATCCAATGGCAACTATATAATCATGAATTTTAATTCCTTCTATGGCAGATAGAACAATAGCTTGGTCTTTTGCCGGATATTTGAATGAAGTTAGTATATTTGAGTATGTAGATGGTGTGGTGTTTTTTGAAGGAATATTCTCTTTTGGATTCATTTTTGGTTAATAATTTTTGTCTTTAAATTTATTTATCATAGTCAATTTTTTACCCGTGCCAATCCGGCTCTGTATTATCAGCAGAGTTTTAAATAAAACCCGCTCTGAAACCTGTTGAGACGGCCTTTGTGATAATTTTGTTGACTATCAGAATATGTTGTAATTATGTATTATTGAGAATATTAATTTTACTCACTGCGATTGTAGACCAATCGATGAAAAGCACTCTAGATTTTTGTAGTAAACACTTTTAACTATTTTTGATCACTTTAATCTATTAGATTTAAACGATATTATCGGAGCTAACCTAAATGTGGTTTGCTAAACCAAGGTCAGAGCCGTATCCACTGGTACATTTATTACATAAAAACCCAATCTGACTTTTGTGATTTTTTACAAATCATTAAATATAAATATATCTTAAACTAAAAGAGCACATAATACACACTATATAAGCATGAATATAAATTAATGACTGGTATTGAGATGACCAATTATGGGAATAAATAGGATACTATGGAACAGATATATTTTTTATGTGTGAAACTAATGATAAGTAAAAATATGATACCAAGATCTCTAATTTCACTCATTTTAGTTGCTTTAGTAGGTACTTTAATGTATTTATTTATTTATTTATGCATGTACCATTTACACAGAAACAAAAATATAAAATTTGTACAGTTAGCATATTAACATGGAAAATAAATGAACTACTCAAAGGCCGTTTCACACAGTCACCTGTGGCTGAAACAGATGTTTCAGCCACAGATTGTGCATCTCCACTTGTTGAAGGACTCTCAACTAAAACAAAAAGTTAATTTAATAATTTATACCATGATTCACTTCAGGTAAAATAATGTTTGTTAATTACATATTAGGGTTACTTACTTTCTGTTACATTTGCTTCCCCACTCACCATTGAAATACTTCTGGGATGTACATTAGAAGAAGAATGGTATTAACATTCATCATATCTAAATTAGGATTATTTGTAACACTAAGCCACTTCCTAAATCGTGTAATGTCTTTATCAGGCTTTGGAAAGGCATGTCTAATTAATGACGAATTGGTACATTGTAGGATACAACATTTATTGTGAAGAACCATATTTAACTAATTATTATTAATCTGCAAAATACTGTTTGAACACCGCCAGGAACATTTAAAACACAGATCACTGAGGTAGGGGATTTGTAATTTACAATTTAACAAAATCAAAATATAGACGTTAATATAACAATTGGCGATTGACAATTATAATTCTTAGTTGTGTTCTAAACCTAAACTGTAGAGTAAAGCGACATCTGAAGATTTGTATCGGTACAACAAATGACATTAAGTTTGGTTTGACCTTGAGCTACCTACGTGAAACGTCTAGTTATTAGTGGTCTGTGAGTTAGACTAAACTCGTTACGGAATGTCATAGCATAGCCGCATGTGCTATTTGCACCGATACTTGCAAAATGCACAGTCAGATGGGATAGTTTTTTCTTATGTTTGCGTTTATGTTTATTTATTATTCATTACATTTTTATTATTACATTACATATTGTTATTGTTATTTGCATTAGGAAAAATTTATTGTCTTGTTTTTGACCGAAATTTCGGCTGTCTCATTTTTGCACCACTTGACCCTACTAGTTTTTGTTTTTTATTAATATATTTTGTTAATTATTACCCTGTATCTATATGTATTTAAAATTGACTTTAAAAACATTTTATAACATATTATTTTTTCCTTATCTAATTGCAGATAACTAAATTACAGAGTAAATGTTGGTAACTATCAGTTAAAAAATATCCGAAATGGGTGACTGTGTTAAAGTGCTACTCAAAGTTTTGCCCCAAAATCTTGGTAGTTCTGAACAAAATGGTATCTACAGAAATAATATAAACTTGAAATACATCGATGAACTGTTTAAAAATGTCGATAATAAAGTAGATGTAGTAAAAGTTAAAGATTTGCAGAAGAAGGCCGAGGCAGAAATACGTGGTGAAGTGCCATGTCTGGTGTTTAAGTGCCTAAAAGTAATTTTATTAAATACCAATGAAGAAGAAAGACTCCTTCACTACCATGATTTAGTTAAACTTTTCTACAATAGCCTAATTCAAAAATTGCTAGAATTACGTAAATTAGAGAGCCTGATAACCTTCCAAAAGTATGAACACCTGGTAAGAAAACTAATACCTTTGGTTAAATTGGAAATACTTCTCGAACAGTACCCCGCTACAAACACAACCCTGTTTGAAGAGCTGATGGAGTACTTAGATATGCCAAATATTTTTAGAGAAGACATTTACCAAGTATTACAGAAGAAACTTGGTCATAGCAACTTCAAACTTATACGGTTTCACTTGGAAGCAGTATCCAATAAAGGACTTTTGTCTGATTGCTCCAAACTTAACGTTTTTGTAATAGAAAAAAACGAAAAAAAAACTTACAAGTTTTTTATTAAATTTTTGCCAACACAACAAACAGCTATTCAGAAAATTTTAACTCCTCTGGCTTTCAAAAAAGAAGTCTTGTTCTATGGAAAATTCGTGCCACTGTTAAAAGAACTCGGTGAGACAGAATTAGAGTTTATTCCAGAAAGTTACTTGGTTAGAGATGATCTTATTGTATTAAGTGATATTATTAAGCTGGGCTACACCCACTCCGGTCAAGATTTTCTTGATTATGATCATTTATCTTTAATTATAAAATATTTTGCTCGAATCCATTCATTCTCTATTATTTTTGAAGAAAATGTAAGTAAAACATTAGGGGAGAGAGTTTTACTGGACACATATTTTCCAGATTTAGTAGAAGAGTCTCAAATACTACCAAATTTCATGATTAAGTGTCAGTTTGAACATATGTTATTGTTTCTCGAAAAGTTCCCAAGTGTAGCGAAAGATTTTCCATTGGAAGATTTTGTGATTAGAGCTAGAAAGAAGTATAGCGATATCTATAATGTCGTCAAAAAGTCTAAGAAACACAAGAATGTTTTGAATCATGGTGATGTATGGCAACCAAACTTTTTCTATAAGTTTGACTCAAAGCACAAACCATACAGTGCTAACATTTTTGATTTTCAGTTACTACGGTATGCATCACCAGCTTTAGATATACTTATGCTGCTCCATGTTAATGCAACAAAAGAAACTAGGGACAATTACATGTTCCAGCTCCTTCTAGACTATCACAACGAATTAAAATCAACTTTAATCAGGTTTAATATAGACGTAGAAAAAATTTTCAGCTTTATTGAACTACAGATTTATGTACAGGACCTTAAGGTATTTGGAAATTTTATTGGAACTCTATATGGATACTTTCTGGCATTGCCGAAGCAAAAGTTTGCATCAGTTTTCGCAAATCCTGAAACAAATGATAAGTTTTGGTCAGATCCTAAATTCAGAACAGAGCTGTGTTATTCCTTTTGGGACGATATAGCAGAGGTTTGGAAGAAAGAGTGGTTGAACAATATAGGGGAACTGTATGAGTTATGTAAAAATTAATAAAATGATTTTAAAGCTGGTACATGTTTTGTGTTAGCATTATTCTTTTTAACCAGTGTTGTCTGTTATGTAATAATGGAAATTGAGTTCAATAAGCATAGTTATTGAAGAATAATATTCGGCCTTGTTTTCACTAAAGAATATTTGTACAAAAAAGCTGTAGGCCGAAATATCCTAGTAGATGATCTCAAAACTATATGCATTGATCTTTAAACATATTTTTCTAAATTAAATAATTTCTAATTTACTGTGTAAATTCATTCATATTGAAATTGAGTTTTTTTCTACATTTTATATCGTTTTTGTAAATTTATATGTTTGGTAATTGTCCGCAGGTATTGATAAAATATTCGTTAATAAAAAAGGTGCCATTTTGTATGTGCGCGTGCATCCAATGGGTAACCCAAATAAACAATTACAAAAAGGGCTATACCTCAGAAAGTACTAAAGTTGTAAAAAAATTGGTTCTAAACATTTTCAAGATTAAATCATGCCAATAATAGTTTTCTAAAAAAATATTTTTTTTTCATTACTTTTCAAAATACAGTCCAATATATGAAGACTAAATCGTTTTGAAATATTTTTTAAAATTTTTTGAAAATGGAGGTTAGGAATGTATTTTTTTTTTAATTTAATAATAGTTAATAATAATAAAAACACTTTCATCTACTTGTTCCCAAATTTTCAAGCTTGACGTACGTATATTTTTTTTTGTTCATAGTGTTCTTTGATCGGGCTACAGTAGTATGTTATTAACGTATATATATATATATTATATATATATATATATATATATATATATATATATATATATATATATATATATATATATATATATATATATATATATATATATGTATGGTATTTTTATTACCGATCCTCTTCTATTTGTTAGGTTATTCTTCGTCTTTAATAGTTTATATACAACATTTTTGTTGAATATTCGCCTTGTACCATTCTTTAAATGCTTATTTTATTTCTTTTTCTTCTTTTGTAATTTCTCCATTCATCATATTTAGATCATGTTATTTGTGTTCTCCTTGAGGATTTGTGATCTTTCATGTTTGGCATATATTTTTTTAAAGTAATTCTTTTACATTTGTATTGTACCTTTCTATATTATTTGATTATTTTTTTTTGTTTCTGTTATATTTCTTGTGCTCTTTCTGTTAGCTTTCAATTTTTTTGGCTTCTCTTCTTTTAATAACTCTCCTAACTCTCTAGTATCCTGCGCCACACTTCAGTTTTTTGTTAGTCTCTCAGTGATGTCTCGCTTTTTGCTTGAGTTGATAACGAATCGTCTTAAAAAGAACTAAACTTGTTCTCGGATAACCTCAAAGAGATATGTACAATGCTACATTAACGTTAGTTAGTGTGTGCCAGTGTGGGTCTTAAAATAAGCATCTACAAAACAAAATTCATGACAAACCTATTACCTGGCGGAAATATCAATATTGGAGACAACGAAGTAGAGCTGGTGGAAAAATACATATAACTTGGACACAAAATAAAGATCACAAGATACAACCAAACATGCCAACTACGAAGAAGAATAAACCTAGCCTGGGCAGCCTATGAAAAACATAAAGACATCTTTAAAAGCGATATACCAATTTGCTGAACGCTGAAAATAGCTCAGAGGAAAATGAAAAGGTTAATGCTGAGTATATCGCTTCGTAACCAAGTTAGAAATGAAGACTTATGACGAAGAACAGGAGTTATCGAAGTAATTTCCTGAATGGCCACACTGAAATGGAACTGGGCCGGACACGTCGCCCGAATCAGGGATGAAAGGTGGACGGAGAGATTGCTTGAGTGGAGGCCGAGGTTACACAAAAGTAGTAGAGGAACACCCCCAACTTGTTGGACTGACGGTCTCAAGAAAATGTCAAGAAATTTGATAAAAAGTGCTCAAGAAAGAGCACAATGAAAAAATGAGAAAGGCATATGTCCAGCAGTGGACGTAAAGTGCTGGATGATAATTTTCTCTTCTATTGTTTCTTTCAGCAGCTTTTTTCGTCCACTTTTTTGAAATTGTGCCAATCTCTTGGTCTTTCTCTTCTAAGACCTAATTATACCTTGTCGCTTCATGGATAATTTGTTTTGCGTTTGTCACTCCGTGATTGATTTATTAACAATACTGAATATGCAGCTAACATTTGATTACTGAAATATCAACTAAAAACAAAGAAATTTTACCAAATTAATACCAAAAGTGATAATATATAAAATCATAGTAAGTATGTACCTTGGAAAGGTTAATCATAAGAGTTTAGATCTAAAAGATCCTAAAATAGAGTTATTTATCATAAGCTTGTCATCCGAAAAAAGTTGTCAGAATCACATTGATTTGATACTCTTCCAGTTTATCTCTTTTTACATTTACAATGATTGTATCTATTAGTATTTATTTATTTCCATATTTTTTTTATAATTGCGATCAACATCAAGTTATCTACATTCAATAGAAAAATTTTCATAAAAATCATTTAAAACATAGGATTAACAAACATATGTATATTCACTCATAAACCATACGAATCAACGAACTGTTTGGTTGACGGTATCCTCTGAAATCACACAAGTGAGAATATCGTTGTACAAGACTAGCAATTACGTTACTCGAACAATCAGAGCAATTAGAGTACAAAGGACCACTAATAGTATGCTCGTATGTACGCACAGGACCAATATAACACTTCCCTCGGCATTCCAATTTGTTCTTCGGTCACAGTTATTATTTAATTATTGAATAACATTGTCGATGTGTATATGTTTGTGTCTGCGTGTTTGCGATTGTGGCCTTTACATACGTCTCCTGTTGGATTTGACAATATAATAGTACGACAAGGTTAAATTTTACACATAGGACTGAAATTTTGAAATGATTTCTAATGCTTTACTACATCTGTAATACTATACTAACGCATATGTCCCTAAAGATTTCGGAAAAAATAAATATGTATTTTCTAATTTTAAATAAAGTTTATTCTATTAACTAAATACAGGAAGTTAGGTCTACATATTTAAGGTTTATAAGGTACTTTTATAGAACAGAAAGACGTCCATGATCTTCGATGGCACGTAAATTAATTTGGTTTTGCATGTTCGTCATGAACGAAAATTTTTTTTTTATTAATAAAAAAATGTATATTTTTACTTAAAAAAAAGTTTTGTTAAAAATTTTAACAAAAAGTATCTTATATCAATCTAGCTGGTAATTCCTTTAAGAAAGTTTTTGGGTTGCAATTGAATCAAAAAACTCTCATACACAAATTGCTAATGGTCTGGGACGACCATGGAACACAAAATGGATAATATCTGGGGAGGTAGTTAGAACACTGACTCGGGCTTCAGATTATCCTGGATGACAACAAACTGCACTCTTCAAAACTCGGCCGCTCAATTCTTGTTTAAAACCATGTGGACCTCTCAAATTGTTATAAACGCCGTTTTCTAAAATTTCTCACATAGAACACAGCACAAAAAATCAGTGATTAACTCAACAAAGATTGCCACCTAGCATCTTGAGCTCAAATTCACCTCTCCACATAAAAAATTGTCGGCTTTAAAGAACTACATGCCCTAAGCTATTTCTTCCGAATCTAATTCTCAACTCCAACTGCTACTGCACTTGACTATTTCCGATAACTAAACGAATCACGAAAAACAATAACGAATTTTTCAAAAAAAAATCCAGACTCAAACATTAAAACCAAATGCTTTCGCGTTCCATCGTAAAGTGATTTCATTATTCACAAACCAGTCTCTTGCCCGCACCAGTGAAAAGATTCCTGTTTATTTGACGCTCAATATCCATTAGGCGGAATCAATATCATATGAAAGCAATTAGTGTTATTGCACAACGTGCAAATGCTACAACGTTACTATACTATTATACTCATTACATGACACATTATTCCCTTAATGCTCTATAAAAATTTTAAGTCGCTGATTTTTGTCGCTTTCAGTTTATAGTATATGTATAAAGGAAATTAAATAGCTCTCGTCGAATTTCCACTCCTAGTCGCCATCCTTACTTGTCTTAATCTTCCTCTTTTACATCTTGCTGGTGGTATCCATTCAAATACTCTACTGTGTCACCTTCTTTTTTCCCTCCACAAAAGATGTCCAAAAAAATTAAGACACTTTCTTTCTATTCTATCAGTTAACATGTATGTGGCATTTAATCTATTTAGATTCATCTCGTTGGTAATTCTGTCGAACTTTATGTAAATTATAAATGTTAGTTAAATCAAAAATAAAAATTATTTCACCCCCACATAACTGCCAGTGATACGAATCAAATTAGCACAACTCACCACTCGTTCTAAGGATTGAGCAACATTGGTGCTCAGAGTCGCCAACACCTGTATTTCTGGTATAAAGTCATCGGACATCTATTCTTAATCTCATTACTTTTATTTGTTCCTGGTATGTCGAACGACAGAGTCGGGTCATCGCTACTAGCTAGTACCCGCTACCGCCATCATCAACCTCACGTGGTTGATGATTTCATGTTTTAACCTTATTTAGGCTTCTGTTTCTTCAAGGAATTGGTGCTCCTTTTTTTCTGTGGTGCTGTTCTGTGGAGATTTTAATAGTATCCATTGGGTTTTGGATAGGTTTAATAGTCACTCTCCATCTATTGCACCACCTAATAACTCGGTCTAGGTAGTTTTGTGCTCTTTCGAATATAGAAATTTGTCCACGCACTCTATGTAGGCCTAACGTGAGGAGCGCAGTGTCGTCACCACACATCAGTAGGGTTTCCGATCTATACTGGTGGCGGGAGATGTCACTGTTATAGATTTTGTATAGTATGGGAGCAAGAATTGAGCCTTGGGGTACTTCAGCTTGTGGAGTGAATGGTGAGGATAAAGTGTTGTCAACTTTGATCCAAATAGTCCGATTGGAGAGATAGAAATTTATTAATTTAACGAAAGTTGTAGGCAGTCCAGCAAGGTGGAGTTTTACGATCAGGCCTGTATGTCAGACCTGGTAGAATGTTTTGTGGACGTCTAGGAATATGCCTATGACGTGATTTCTTTCGTTAATTGATTGTGAAATGAAAGTTGCTGCTTCAACTGAGATTATGGTAACTTACAGTAATTTCTGATGACTGCTGCCTAATTCACTAAAGTTAATACTATACTTGTATTAAACACTGAATTTAATTAACATTTCTAATATAGTATAAGATCAAAAAGACTCAAATAAACAAGTGTATACACACTTAGAAAACAATTCACAGACGGTAAGATAACGGAGTAAGATCTAGTCCTTACGCAAA